ATCCAAACTAACAAGCTCCAAAGCGGTAAGAAAAACTCACCCTTGTCTGGCCATGGCTTCAAAGCGAGTTAGCCTGGCGGCTGAATGAAACAAAGGAGATTTGCAGACCAGCCCCACGTTGGGCGCCATTTGTCGTATCGGGTGAATGGTGGCAATTATTGCTGATGAACAAAGGAGTCCGCTCATACTGAACTTTGATCATAAGGTTTATTCAGATCACAAGCTTTAGCATAAGTGACAGGTGACATGCCCACCCGGAGAGCGACGCCTCAGAATGGCCGCTCTGCCTTCTCCTTCGTTTAGCCCCTACTTATAAACAATGCAAAAAGATGGGCTCCCTCTTCTGGCCAATCACCAGTCTCCCCTGTCTACAACACACTTCCTGTCTGTTGTATGTGGCGTTACACTAAAACATTCCCTCTTGATACTAAAATCAACATTCTTTCAGTTCCACTTAAAAACATTTAACAAAAGCATAATCCCAATACACGACAGTTTCTTACTGGATAGGGAGGTGGTTGGTTTGGCAGCGTACCATCCACCAAACCAACCACCTCCCTATCCAGTAACAAACCTACCAAACACCCTTTCAAATCATGAAAGGCTGTTTGGCAGCCTTCTGTTTGGCAGCCTTCTGTTTGGCAGCTATTTTCTCAGTCTTCATCTGATACAAACAGTGGAGCCCCACCCTTTTAGCTAAAAAAAAAGGTTATTTTGACATTAATACGTGTCACATATCAGTTTGCAAACAATGTAAAAAAAACTACATATAAATCATTGAGTTAATAAAGTCGCATACAAACTTTTTTGCTTTCTTGAGTAAGGCAGCTCCAAAATGCAGGTGTTTCAGCCTATCTCAGTGCTTTCTGTGGTGGTGGTGGGGCAGCCAGCGGAAAATACAGAGCGTAGGGGTTGGTAATGTTCTCTAGTTGCGCCGGAAGCCACTCCTCAGTAAAAGGCACATGACAGCCCGCTTGGAGTTTGCCAAAAGGCACCTGAAGATTCTCTGGTCTGATGAAACCAAGATTCAACTCTTTGGCCTGAATGCCAAGCGTCACGTCTTGAGGAAACCTGGCACCATCCCTACGGTGAAGCATGGTGGTGGTAGCATCATGCTGTGGGGATGTTTTTCAGGGCAGGGACTGGGAGTCAGGATTGAGGCAAAGATGAATGGAGCAAAATACAGAGAGATCCTTGATGAAAACCTGCCCCAGAGTGCTCAGGACCTCAGACTGGGGTGAAGGTTCACCTTCCTACAGGACAACGACCCTAAGCACACAGCCAAGACAACGCAGGAGTGGCTTCGGAGTGAACCCAATCTAACATCTCTGGAGAGACATGAAAATAGCTGTGCAGCAACGCATCTCATCCAACCTGACAGAGCTTGAGAGGATCTGCAGAGAAGTAGCTTCATTCCCAAGAAGACTCTATGCTGTAATTGCTGCCAAAGTTGATTCAACAAAGTACTAAGTAAAGGGTCTATAAGGCAACCTATAAGTGTGATATTTCAGTTTTTTTATTTTTTATAAATTAGCAACATTTTCTAAACCTGTTTTTGCTTTATCATTTTGGGGTATTGTGTGTAGATTGATGAGGGGAAAAAATAAAAATAAAAATAGAATAAGGCTGTAACGTAACAAACTGTGGAAAAAGTCAAGGGGTCTGAATACTTTCCGAAGGCACCGTATGTTGTGTAGTAAGCTGTTAGTAGCCCATGTGCCTCACCCTAATATTTTGGTCCCTTTTTCCCCTCTTAATTCAAATCAAATCAAATGTAATTGTCACATACACGTGTTTAGCAGATGTTATAGCGGGTGTTGTGAAATGCTTGTGCTTCTAGCTCTGACAGTGCAGTAATATCTAACAAGTAATATCTAACAAAACTAGTAAGGAATGGAATTTTTTAAAATATACATATATGGACAAGCAATGACAGAGCGGCATGGACTAGGATACAGTAGAATATTATAGAATAGAATGCAGTATATACAGTGAGGGAAAAAAGTATTTGATCCCCTGCTGATTTTGTACATTTGCCCACTGACAAAGACATGATCAGTCTATCATTTTAATGGTAGGTTTATTTGAACAGTGAGAGACAGAATAACAACAACAAAATCCAGAAAAAAACGCATGTCAAAAATGTTATGAATTGATTTGCATTTTAATGAGGGAAATAAGTATTTGACCCCTCTGCAAAACATTACTTAGTACTTGGTGGCAAAACCCTTGTTGGCAATCACAGAGGTCAGACATTTCTTGTAGTTGGCCAACAGGTTTGCACACATCTCAGGAGGGATTTTGTCCCACTCCTCTTTGCAGATCTTCTCCAAATCATTAAGGTTTCGAGGCTGACGTTTGGCAACTCGAACCTTCAGCTCCCTCCACAGATTTTCTATGGGATTAAGGTCTGGAGACTGGCTAGGCCACTCCAGGACCTTAATGTGCTTCTTCTTGAGCCACTCCTTTGTTGCCTTGGCCGTGTGTTTTGGGTCATTGTCATGCTGGAATACCCATCCACGACCCATTTTCAATGCCCTGGCTGAGGGAAGGAGTTCTCACCCAAGATTTGACGGTACATGGCCCCGTCCATCGTCCCTTTGATGCAGTGAAGTTGTCCTGTCCCCTTAGCAGGAAAACACTCCCAAAACATAATGTTTCCACCTCCATGTTTGACGGTGGGGATAGTGTTCTTGGGGTCATAGGCAGCATTCCTCCTCCTCCAAAAACGACGAGTTGAGTTGATGCCAAAGAGCTCGATTTTGGTCTCATCTGACCACACACTTTCACCCAGTTCTGCTCTGAATCATTCAGATGTTCATTGGCAAACTTCAGACGGGCATGTATATGTGCTTTCTTGAGCAGGGGGACCTTGCAAGCACTGCAGGATTTCAGTCCTTCACGGAGTAGTGTGTTACCAATTGTTTTCTTGGTGACTATGAACCTGAGCAAAAATCCCAGAACCACACGGGGGGACCTAGTGAATGACCTGCAGAGAGCTGGGACCAAAGTAACAAAGCCTACCATCAGTAACACACTACGCCGCCAGGGACTCAAATCCTGCAGTGCCAGACGTGTCCCCCTGCTTAAGACAGTACATGTCCAGGCCCGTCTGAAGTTTGCTAGAGTGCATTTGGATGATCCAGAAGAGGATTGGGAGAATGTCAGATGAAACCAAAATATAACTTTTTGGTAAAAACTCAACTCGTCGTGTTTGGAGGACAAAGAATGCTGAGTTGCATCCAAAGAACACCATACCTACTGTGAAGCATGGGGGTGGAAACATCATGCTTTGGGGATGTTTTTCTGCAAAGGGACCAGGACGACTGATCCGTGTAAAGGAAAGAATGAATGGGGCCATGTATCGTGAGATTTTGAGTGAAAACCTCCTTCCATCAGCAAGGGCATTGAAGATGAAACGTGGCTGGGTCTTTCAGCATGACAATGATCCCAAACACACCGCCCGGGCAACGAAGGAGTGGCTTCGCAAGAAGCATTTCAAGGTCCTGGAGTGGCCTAGCCAGTCTCCAGATCTCAACCCCATAGAAAATCTTTGGAGGGAGTTGAAAGTCCGTGTTGCCCAGCGACAGCCCCAAAACATCATTGCTCTAGAGGAGATCTGCATGGAGGAATGGGCCAAAATACCAGCAACAGTGTGTGAAAACCTTGTGAAGACTTACAGAAAACGTTTGACCTGTGTCATTGCCAACAAAGGGTATATAACAAAGTATTGAGAAACTTTTGTTATTGACCAAATACTTATTTTCCACCATAATTTGCAAATAAATTCATTAAAAATCCTACAATGTGATTTTCTGGATTTTATTTTCTCATTTTGTCTGTCATAGTTGACGTGTACCTATGATGAAAATTACAGGCCTCTCTCAACTTTTTAAGTGGGAGAACATGCACAATTGGTGGCTGACTAAATACTTTTTCGCCCCACTGTAGATACTTTTGTACCTGTTTCCTCCAGCATCTTCATAAGGTCCTTTTGCTGTTGTTCTGGGATTGATTTGCACTTTTCGCACCAAAGTACGTTCATCTTTAGGAGACAGAACGCGTCTCCTTCCTGAGCGGTATGACGGCTGCGTGGTCCCATGGTGTTTATACTTGCGTACTATTGTTTGTACAGATGAACGTGGTACTTTCAGTCGTTTGGAAATTGCTCCCAAGGATGAACCAGACTTGTGGAGGTCTACAAATCTTTTTCTGAGGTCTTGGCTGATTTCTTTTGATTTTCCCATGATGTCCAGCAAAAAGGCTATGAGTTTGAAGGTAGGCCTTGAAATACATCCACAGGTACACCTCCAATTGACTCAAATGATGTCAATTAGCCTATCAGAAGCTTCTAAAGCCATGACATCATTTTCTATAATTTTCCAAGCTGTTTAAAGGCACAGTCAACTTAGTGTATGTAAACGTCTGACCCACTGGAATTGTGATACAGTAAATTATAAGTGAAATAATCTGTCTGTAAACAATTGTTGGAAAAATTACTTGTGTCATGCACAAAGTAGATGTCCTAACCGACTTGCCAAAACTATAGTTTGTTAACAATTAATTTATGGAGTGGTTGAAAAATGAGTTTCAATGACTCCAACCTAAGTGTATGTAAACTTCCGACTTCAACTGTACATGCTAAAATCGCCACTGGATACAGAAACTATATGAATATGACATTCACATTTTCAGTCATTCATTTACATGTCATGTGCTTATTTGAGTGCCACATTCACAAAGAAGTATTCAATACTATTTGTCTGGGTAACAAGACCTGAGTAATTCAGCATCACAAGATATCTGTTGTTCAACAAAAAGTGGCATCTGTAGTTAATAGACTGTCAATGAATTGTTCCATTATTTGCTGTTTTGCACTGCTCTCTCTAAATTCAACTACATGTGTCGCTCTGCTTCCTTGATCTCTACTCTATTCTACACTTCACTTCTTTTCCATCTTTACAGCGGTGTTCTACTGTTCTCTGCTGCTCTCCAGTGTTTCATTTGAGAATTGTACTCCTCTCCCCCTCCTGGTAGCGTCTCTCGAAGTACGCCATGTGTCCCTCCTCTCTGGTCCTCATGTCAGACAGAGCCCTGATCACATAGCTCTCCTCTACACATCAGAGGGAAACATGCACCATTAAATGAACGGAATACATCTATTATGAGACTCATTTAATCTCTGTTTAGGATCTCTATAGGAAATATATGACCTATAGCAGGGTTTCCCAACCCTCTTCTCTGGCCCCCTCAGACATAAAAAAAAGCCTTTGACTAATTGAATCAGGTGTGCCAGTTTAGGGTTAAAACAAAAATGTGAAACGTCTGGGGGGGCCCGAGGAGAGGGTTGGGAAACCCTGATCTATAGCATAAATTGCATCCTCCGTTACACTCAGATTATACATTTCATAGTCTCGACTGGCCATCCTTCCAAATCTCGTACATGAGAAGGCTGTGCTTCTGAGGCTAGACATTTCAAAGGAAACAGTCGCAATGATGTCCCCCAAAGTCTCCTATATCTAGGTTGGGTTCTGACCTGTAGGTCCATAGGCTTTCTCAAACACATGCTCCTGGAACGCTCAGGGATGTTGAGACAAGAGGACAGAAAGAAGAGGGACACACACACACACGTAGTTAGTCAAGGGTAACAATTAGATATCTCATATACTGTATCTAAGGCTGAGATTAAACTCATAGATAGACTAAATGTCTATGTTCTAATTCATTTTGTGGCTGTCTCTTGTCAGTGAGTCTGTGATGCTGCCTGGAGGTCTCACCTGCCCCGCTGTCATCCAGTGTCAGGTACCCGTCAGTCAGGGAGCTGAACCCCGTTAAAGCCCCATGGATGTGTACGCAACGTCACTGCCAACCCCGGGCCTCCCGCTCTGCCCTAGTCTTCACTAGCGTCTGGTGGGCGGGGCTAGGATGGCCACACCCACATGTGTAAGGGCTCCGGAACCCAGAGCAGAAAGTGCCTGAGGACAGGAGAGGTCAGAGTGGAAAGGACAAAGAGATGAGGTAGGGCAATGTAGCCTCACCCTTGCCCTATACAACACTCAGCAACTACTTTTAACACAACAAATTGGAAGGCTGGGTGAATAGAAGGAGTATTATAACAATGACTCAGTGCTTCAGCGAGGGGACATCAGAGACTCACATTTCCCACACAGGTGTTCTGTGGTCTCACTGTGGTCGTGGGCTGAGTGTTTGCAGCTGCAGCGTACAGGCTGCGACCCATTCAGGTTAGCGTACTGGTAGGCGGAACACAGACACCCTCGAAAACCGGCATGGTAGCACTATCGGTCGCTCCAAAAGGAACCTCCTCAAAGTCTGTCTGATGCGGTTTGTACCTGGAGGGGTTCAACCCAAGTGCAGCGATTAAGAGGGATAGCTGGAATGATGCTTGAACCACTGACCAAGCAATTCCTGAGCAACCATACTTCCTCCTCAGCCATAAAGATTCAGACCTCTTTGTAGAGACCATAGCGCTATTACATTTTGGAGGCTACACAATTCTTAATGAACTAATCACAGTGTTGTATTAGAGATGGATGATGTTGCTAAAGTGTACCTGTGTGTGCAGAAGCAAGGTGTCTCTAGGCCGATTAGTTTACAGTCTATTCCCCCTGGCCTTCCAAAGCTCACACACAGCCTGTTCTGTAGTCTCTTGAGCAACACTGTTCTCTTATACTCTTCATATTCCTCTGGGGAGAATATAGTCTGCCGCCATCGTCTTCTCCCACGATCCTAAAACACAACAACAGGTGCCACAGCATTAGTAGTTCTATCACAGAGTACCCAGATTCTGCAAAGTGTGCCTTTCCTCCTCAAATAGAATACTGATACAAAAGTAGCATCCAATATGGTGGACTATTATATATTCACACCACAGTAGACTGCTGAGGGGAGAACGGCTCATAATAATGGCTGGAACGTAGAGAATGGAATGGCCATTTATGAGCTGCTCCAGCCATGGACCACTCTGTAGCTCAGCTGGTAGAGCACGGCGCTTGTAACACCAGGGTAGTGGGTTTGATCCCCGGGGCCACCCATACACAAAAATGTATGCACACATGACTGTAAGTCGCTTTGGATAAAAGCGTCTGCTAAATGGCATATTATTATTATTATTATTATTATTACCACGAGCCAGTTCTCCCCAATTAAGGTGCAACCAACCTCCTGTGATTCACACTCCAAAGCTTATGATCTCAACTTCATCATTATTCACCTATGTGCAATTAGATTGATCTGCTGAGAAAGGGAAGGAAAGAAGGAATGGAGGAAAGAAGGAAGGAAGGAAGGAAGGAAGGAAGGAAGGAAGGAAGGAAGGAAGGAAGGAAGGAAGGAAGGAAGGAAGGAAGGAAGGAAGGAAGGAAGGAAGGAAGGAAGGAAGGAAGGAAGGAAGGAAGGAAGGAAGGAAGGAAGGAAGGAAGGAAGGAAGGAAGGAAGGAAGGAAGGAAGGAAAATACACTGACTCCAAACAAATGGCCTTGGTGAAATTTTACATACAAGGGATGTGTGCACTTTCTAAGTTGTCTGAACTGAAGGCAAACATAACAAAGCAAATAGGCCTACAAAGTTAGTCAGGTGACACAGAGGAAAATTCCAGCAGTGATCCAGGATGAATATATTCCTAGAAGAAATGTGGTCTCTGCACCTTTCCTTTCCCCTTCCCTTGATTTGGGATGGTGGGCCCAGGTACCTTGGCTTAACTATACCTCATCTACCAGTCGGTCGAATAAGCCATCTAATCATTCCTTACCAAAACACTTACACTGATTTGAATTTGAACTTATCTTATGTTCTTTTTTTTTATTTAGCGCCGTGATGACTGATGGTAAGGATGAATGGACCACACGCTTGCATGCATGTTTATGAGCAATACATTTCCCACAAATCCCTATAGGTAGGATTTACTCCTGAGTGGCGCAGTGGTCTAAGGCACTGCATCGCAGTGCTAACTGTGCCACTAGAGATCCTGGTTCAAATCCAGGCTCTGTCGCAGCCGGCCGCGACCGGGAGACTCATGTGGCGGCGCACAATTGGCCCAGCGTCGTCCAGGGTAGGGGAGGGAATGGCCGGCAGGGATGTAGCTCAGTTGATAGAGCATGGCGTTTGCAACGCCAGGGTTGTGGGTTCGATTCCCACGGGGGGCCAGTATTAAAAAAAATATGTATTCACTAACTGTAAGTCGCTCTGGATAAGAGCGTCTGCTAAATGACTAAAATGTAAATGTAAATTTAGTTTCTCCCTGTCGCTGGCCCATACTCCAGTACAGTAGGTGGCGGTAATGCACCATAACGTTGGATGCCAACCGCCAATAAACCGCACTGAAGAAGAAGAAGACCAATCCCTAAAACGTGAATCGTGATGACACAGTACACACACGACCACTAGACTGATCGGTAGTTGTCACGTGAAATGGGGTGAACTCGCGAACACATTTTTGCCTAGACATGCAAACAGTTATACAATGTAATTTTAACTTCAGAACTGGCTATTTGTTTAAGTTACATTGCTTATGAAGTAACATAATCTTGACAGTGGCATTTCGGTCTCTGCCCTGTGCACTCATCTGTTGTCCGTTTTGGATTAACGGGATTGCAGACTGACGTTCCAAACAGCACAGGGATTCAAACGAACAAATCCTGGTAATATAACGTTTGTTTTTATAAGGGTTTGATAAAAGTCATTGAAATAATGTTTGAGGTGTGAGACAACTTTGTGGATGTCTGATTTGACACTGGGGCAGTTATCCCGTTCGATTAACTATAATGTCAAGACTAGCTAGCGCGAGCCATATTTACGTCATGCACGCGATCAACAAGGTAGGCTAGCAGATAGCTAACTAACTCAGTCTGAGCACTGCAAGCTAGCTATCTATAGTCAGCTAGGTTTCCAGAAATCTATCTACCGGTTAAGCTAACTATGTAGCTATTTCTACTACTATCAAGCTGAAATGTATGTCTTTGTCAAACGGTTCTAAAGTATGAGTTGTTAGCTAACATGCTAGTTAGGTAGCTATGTCTATTGGCCAACTTTCTCTTACTTTGTTTTTCCACCAACTGTCCTGTCATACACTGACGTTAGTTAGCTAACTTTTCCTTCCACAAACCTGAGCCAAGCCTTGCTGCGTTGCCTAGTAGTTGATTGAGGTGATAACTACCCCATATGGCAGTTGTGTAGGTCAATGTTTAACTAATGGATTTGTTGCCTCAACTTGTGCTGTGCATAACACAGGGCTGGTATATTTTGAAATAAGCTTGGAGCGTGATTTTGCCTAGACGGGGGTCTGGGGAGGAAAATGTTACTGTTTTAAAGTCCATTTCCTGCAATTTTACGTATTTTGACATGGTTTAGGACTATGACCCAAAAAAAACAGGTCAGGTGTATTCAGAATGCTTTGAACACAATATTTTGTAAACATTTTTTAAAATATGGTTTGACACTTTATTCAGATAGTAATGAAATTAGATTGGGGACGAGAGAAACAGTGGGAAGGTCAGAAGGGATTGATCCCTATTCTCAGGTGGAGAGTTGTATGCGACAAGTGCCTGGCAGTGTCACCACGTGTCAAACTCATTTCACTGAGGGCCGAATGTCTGCAGGTTTTCGCTCCTCCCTTGTACTTGATTGATTGAATTAAGGGGTGTTTCTCAATATGCATACTACCATGCTCCACACTCTCATGCTCCAAGTGCATTCTCAGAGGACGTAGAGGACGTTCTGTTGAGTATGTAGTTGTGAGTACATAAAACAGCACTACCATGCTGCTCTTTTTACAGTTTTATAAACTCAGTGGGGAATGTTCTCTCTCCATTCAGCTCCACTCTGATCCTGAGGGGCGTTTCTTTAAAACACTCATCCAATCCCCTTGATCCCTTACATAACTAGGCCAATCATATGCTTCATGTGCCATGGTTCACAGTGCTGTGGCAAGACAGAACAATGATAAGAGGTTCCTCGTGAGGTTAAATTGCAGTCGCAGATGCTCCGATTTCAAAAATGATTTGGAGAACGGTTTAAATGTTATCGCACTATACAATGGACACATTACATTTTAGTCATTTAGCAGATGCTCTTATCCAGAGCGACTTAGTTAGTGAGTGCATACATTTTTCATACTGGGCCCCCGTGGGAATCGAACCCACAACCCTGGCGTTGCAAGTGCCATGCTCTACCAACTGAGCTACAGGAGGGCTAGAAAATAAAAGCAGTACTTTTCAATGCGTGAGAGATGAGGTGTGGCGTGTGAGCGTGGGAAGAGGATCAAATGCGTGTCTCACGGCCAATGAGTGAGAGTTGGCAGCTCTGATAACAATGCTTGACAGACAGATGAAATTGTATTTGTCACATGCTTTGAAGACTAACAGTGAAATGCTTACTTACTGGTCCTTTTACAGCAATGCAGGGTTAAAGACCACGGTAAATTTGTTTTCAGTTTGGATATTGGTTTGATATCTACAGTTTGCTCATCAATACCTCTTCGACGGAAGGTCCTAGGATGATTAGGGTGATGAATCTAGAATTAGATGACGATAGAGAGCAAGGTACGGCCTTTTATTTTAATCCAACTGTTTTCAAAAAGAGACTATATGCTGGTTTCAATGGTTGAATATTACGCACTGGTGGCTAAGGGACCATCTTAAAAGTGCCATCAGGGCCTCCCGAGTGGCGCAGCGGTCTAAGGCGTCGCTACAGACCCGGGTTCGATCCCAGGCTGTGTCACAGCCGGCCGTGACCGGGAGACCCATGAGGCGGCGCACATTTGGCCCAGCATCGTCCGGGTTAGGGGAGGGTTTGGCCAGCCGGGATTTCCTTGTCCCATCGCGCTCTAGTGACTCCTTGTGGCGGGCCGGGCACCTGCAAGCTGACTTCGGTCGCCAGCTGGACGGTGTTTCCTCTGACACATTGGTGCGGCTGGGTTCCGGGTTAAGCAAGCAGTGTGTCAAGAAGCAGTGCGGCTTGCCAGGGTCGTGTTTCGGAGGACGCATGGCTCTCGACCCTCCCCTCTCCGTAGGGGAGTTTAAGCTATGGGACAGGACTGTAACTACCAATTGGATATCACAAAATTGGAGAGAAAATGGGGTAAAAGTACTTAAACTAAAAAGTGCAATAGCCAAACCTGGTGTTTACAGAAACTAAATGTTTATCTCAATTAAATGATCTAGAGATCTTAAACAAACTGTTTTTACCTTTTTTAAGAGAGGTCAAGGAACCCACCGCACTTGTCTGTAGCTCAGTGAACTATTGAAAATTAGACCTATTACAGGAAGATTCCTGTAAATTCAGTGAAATTAAAAATTCTAATTCTAATGGGTGTACTATGGAGGAGGGACGTCAGTGACCAACAAAGTTATTTTAGATGTATGTCATTTGGATTGGAAGCTATTGAAAATTAGATCTCTACGTGAATTAATAACCACAGCTGTATTCTGTGAAATATTTTTTCCAAAAATCGAAGGTGAAGAATTCTAAAAGAATTAATTAAATGGGTCTCCCGGTCATGGCCGGCTGTGACACAGCCTGGGATCGAACCCGGGTCTGTAGCGACGTCTTAGACCACTGCGCCACTCGGGAGGCCCTGATGGCACTTAAGACCTTTGATAAAAGGTCAAGAAACCCAACGCACTTGTTTGTACATCTGTAACTCATATGGACAGTGAGCTGTTGAAAATATCAGGAAATATTCATGTAAAATCAGGGAAGTGGTGAACTGGAATTTTAATGAATGTAGTAACATGGATGAGGGGGGTCAGAGACTAAACATGATGTGGTTTTACATCTCCATTTCACCTGGATAGGAAGATTATTGAAAAGTATCCTTGTAAATGGGTCAAATATAGCACCCTTAGTAGTTAGAGGTAACTATTCAAAATGTTGGACCCTTTGGCGACTGGAGGCCCTATGCAGTATGTAATCTTCATAAAGGGCTAACCCTCCTGAAATAGGAATGCAAAAATATATTTCCGTGCTTACATGCAATCACCGATATTGCACTTTTACAAGGGTTCCTAAACCCCCTGAGCGCCAGCATATCTCCTTTTCGGCTCTGTTAGGGGAAGAGTTCGACCATCTGTAAAAACAAAGGATGTACCTTGCTCTCTACCATCATCTGATTCTAGATAAATCACGATCATCATTGTTACGTTCTCCCCTCGGGTGTAGTTCGTCTGAGGAGGAGACGTAAATGCCCGTGCCTGCGCACACAAGGTAAACTAGATGGATGGGGAAGAAATGTGGGGTGTAATGAACTAAAATAACCAGACAACAACCAGAACTCAATGTTAGCCCTCGGGGACGTTTAGTAACGTAATTAAACAGAATTATACAACACCCATAAAGAAACAGTAAATAAAACAAAAACCAATCAAACAAACCAAGGAAGGAAGGTAAGAGAAGGGAAGGTTTGGGAACAGGGTCCAAGTAATGAAAATAAACAAAAGGTCCCTTCTCTTCTACACACCTAATCCTTCCTATCACACTCTAATCCTTAACCAGCTTTACTACCTGTTACCACATACAGGGGTGACACCAGCCCAGCTAACCTAGTGTGTAAAACAGTGGGTTATCTACGTGTGAATGTACACCCATGGGCAGAACTACCTTTCCCTTCTCCAGGACCCAGGTAGGGTGGAATACAGCAGGAGGACTGGCTGGAACACAAACAAAGATAAATTAAAATAACCAAAACCTCAGCCAAACAAAAAGTACCCCCTCTTCCTCTCGAGCTCACACGGCAAACAGTTTATACTCTAGTCAATCAGCCACAGCTGCCAGGACTCCGGACCGAAGCCACGCCCACCATCGTCAGCCGCAACTCAGCACACCTGTAATGACCAGAACCCACAAACAGAACAACCACTCTGAACCACACACACCACAAAGGAAGATTGGGAGAAATAAAAACATGTCACATGTAACAATCATCCTAGGACCTTCCGTTGGAGAGCTATTGACGAGCGAACTCCGAATATCGAAAGTAAAAACAAATGTACTGCGGTGAGTTAAAGATTAGATTTGTAAAAAATAAATAGAAATAGTGACACTGTAAATAACGAATAAAAATAACATGGTTGTATATAGGGAGTAGAAAATAACATGGCTGTATATAGGGAGTAGAAAATAACATGGCTGTATATAGGGAGTAGAAAATAACATGGCTATATACAGGGAGTAGAAAATAACATTTACATTACATTTACGTCATTTAGCAGACGCTCTTATCCAGAGCGACTTACAAATTGGTGCATTCACCTTATAGCCAGTGGGATAACCACTTTACTATTATTATTATTATTAAATTTTTTGGGTGGGGTAAGGGGGGGGGGTAGAAGGATTACTTTATCCTATCCCAGGTGTTCCTTAAAGAGGTGGGGTTTCAAATAACATGGCTATATATAGGGAGTAGAAAATAACATGGCTATATATAGGGAGTAGAAAATAACATGGCTATATATAGGGAGTAGAAAATAACATGGCTCTATACAGGGAGTAGAAAATAACATGGCTATATACAGGGAGTAGAAAATAACATGGCTATATATAGGGAGTAGAAAATAACATGGCTATATATAGGGAGTAGAAAATAACATGGCTATATATAGGGAGTAGAAAATAACATGGCTATATATAGGGAGTAGAAAATAACATGGCTATATATAGGGAGTAGAAAATAACATGGCTATATATAGGGAGTAGAAAATAACATGGCTATATATAGGGAGTAGAAAATAACATGGCTCTATACAGGGAGTAGAAAATAACATGGCTATATACAGGGAGTAGAAAATAACATGGCTATATACAGGGAGTAGAAAATAACATGGCTATATATAGTGAGTAGAAAATAACATGGCTATATACAGGGAGTAGAAAATAACATGGCTATATATAGGGAGTAGAAAATAACATGGCTATATATAGGGAGTAGAAAATAACATGGCTATATACAGGGAGTAGAAAATAACATGGCTATATATAGGGAGTAGAAAATAACATGGCTATATATAGGGAGTAGAAAATAACATGGCTATATATAGGGAGTAGAAAATAACATGGCTATATATAGGGAGTAGAAAATAACATGGCTATATACAGGGAGTAGAAAATAACATGGCTATATATAGGGAGTAGAAAATAACATGGCTATATATAGGGAGTAGAAAATAACATGGCTATATATAGGGAGTAGAAAATAACATGGCTATATATAGGGAGTAGAAAATAACATGGCTATATACAGGGAGTAGAAAATAACATGGCTATATATATGGAGTAGAAAATAACATGGCTATATATATGGAGTAGAAAATAACATGGCTATATATAGGGAGTAGAAAATAACATGGCTATATACAGGGAGTAGAAAATAACATGGCTATATATAGGGAGTACAGAGTCAATGTGCAGGGGTACGAACAAGATAATTGTGACTAGCAGCAGCATATGTGGTTAGGTGAAGTGGACAGCATATCTTATCGCATCCTTCCCCTGCACATGCCCTCTTTTTGTATGAACACTAACATAAGTGGAACAGACAGTAACTATCTGAAGTTGATAGTGTGCTTTTGTAAAGAACAATGATGTCTATAGTCATCTCAGACCTGTGAATGTAGGATACCCTAGGGGTTTGTTTCTGAATTAATTACAATTATTATGCCTAGATATCAACATGAAGTTCCCCTCTTTATCCAGGAAACCACATATTCCCATGAAAGCATTAAGAGATGGATAAGGACCTTTGCACTTATCTATTGTCGTCAGTAACGTCATGCAATAAAATATCCATGTCACAAAATGCTAGTTAGTCTCCTAGCATTTTGTGTCTCTAGAGCTAGGCCTGTGACATGGCTATTCCAATGCATGTGTGTGTGTGCGACAGCACACTGAACCTGGGCTTCTCTTGTTGTTATTTTCATAATGTATTCCCCTCCGTTCAGTGTCTCTCCTCCCTTATCTACGCCCTCAATAGGATGTGCCACTCCCACACTCATGAGACTGCAGATAAATAATTAAAGCAGTGACAGAACTGTTGAGAAAAGCAAGATGTGATTATTTTATTTCAGTTTTTACCTGCATGTATTACACAGTCTTGATTGGAAAATGAAAGTAACCTATATATCACTGTCTGTATTAGAATCCAAGGCTGTGTCATTACTGGCCGTGACCAGGAGTCCCATAGGGCGGTGCACAATTGGCCCAGCGTCGTCCGGGTTAGGGGATGGTTTGGCCGGGGGGATTTACTTGGCTCATCGCGCTCTAGCGACTCGTTGTGGCGGGCCGGGCGCCTGCAGGCTGACTTCGATCGTCAGTTGAACGGTGTTTCCTCCGACCCATTGGGGAGTTGCAGTGATGAGACAAGATCGTAATCACGAATTTGGGGAGAAAAAGGGGGTAAAAATTACAACAACAAAAAATAAAACAAATAGGCCTACTACTTGGAGAGGTGATTTTGCCCAGTTCATAATCCATAGGCCAAATCTAGGCCAGGGGTTTATGCAATGGGGAGAAACATTTAGAATGTAGGCTAAATATACATATAGAGCGGCTGTCATGAATTCCAAGTCCGCACAACAGAGCATCATTTTAAGTTCTACAGTTGTGGTCAAAAGTTTTGAGAATGACACAAATATTAATTTTCAAAGTCTGCTGCCTCAGTTTTTATGATGGCAATTTGCATATACTCCAGAATGTTATGAAGAGTGATCAGATGAATTGCAATTAATTGCAAAGTCCCTCTTTGCCATGAAAATGAACTTAATCCCCCAAAAACATTTCCACTGCATTTCAGCCCTGCCGCAAAAGGACCAACTGACATCATGTTAGTGATTGTCTCGTTAACACAGGTGAGTGTTGACGAGGACAAGGCTGGAGATCACTCTGTCATGCTGATTGAGTTAGAATAACAGACTGGAAGCTTTAAAAGGAGGGTGGTGCTTGAAGTCATTGTTCTTCCTCTGTTAACCATGGTTACCTGCAAGGAAACACGTGCCGTCATCATTGCTTTGCACAAAAAGGGCTTCACAGGCAAGGATATTGCTGCTAGTAAGATTGCACCTAAATCAACCATTTATCGGATCATCAAGAACTTCAAGGAGAGAGGTTCAATTGTTGTGAAGAAGGCGTCAGGGTGCCCAAGAAAGTCCAGCAAGCGCCAGGACCGTCTCCTAAAGTTGATTCAGCTGCAGGATCGGGGAACCACCAGTGCAGAGCTTGCTCAGGAATGGCAGTTGTGAGTGCATCTGCACGCACAGTGAGGCAAAGACTTTTGGAGGATGGTCTGGTGTCAAGAAGGGCAGTGAGGAAGCCACTTCTCTCCAGGAAAAACATCAGGGACAGACTGATATTCTGCAAAAGGTACAGGGATTGGACTGCTGAGGACTGGGGTAAAGTCATTTTCTCTGATGAATCCCCTTTCCGATTGTTTGGGGCATCCGGAAAAAAGCTTGTCCAGAGAAGACAAGGTGAGCGCTACCATCAGTCCTGTGTCATGCCAACAGTGAAGCATCCTGAGACCATTCATGTGTGGGGTTGCTTCTCAGCCAAGGGAGTGGGCTCACTCACAATTTTGCCTAAGAACACAGCCATGAATAAAGAATGGTACCAACACATCCTCAGAGAGAAACTTCTCCCAACCATCCAAGAACAGTTTGGTGACGACCAATGCCTTTTCCAGCATGATGGAGCACCTTGCCATAAGGCAAAAGTGATAACTAAGTGGCTCGGGGAACAAAACATCGACATTTTGGGTCGATGGCCAGGAAACTCCCCAGACCTTAATCCCATTGAGAACTTGTGGTCGATCCTCAAGAAGCGGGTGGACAAACAGAAACCCACACATTCTGACAAACTCCAAGCATTGATTATGCAAGAATGGGCTGCCATCAGTCAGGATGTGGCCCAGAAGTTAATTGACAGCATGCCAGGGTGGATTGCAGAGGTCTTGAAAAAGAAGGGTCAACACTGCAAATATTGACTCTTTGCATAAACTTAATGTAATTGTCAATAAAAGCCTTTGACACTTTAGTATACTGAAGGATAATTACAAGCATTCCATTAGTAACATCTGACAAAAATATCTAAAAACACTGTAACAGCAAACTTTGTGAAGACCAATACTTGTCATTCTCAAAACTTTTGACCATGACTGTACTACATTCATTTATTTCTAAACAGCTTCCTGAATGGTGCAATACAGATAAAAAATGCCTTTCGGTTACTGGCCCAACGCTCTTAACCGCTAGGCTACCTGCCTGTCAAAGACGTCTGTTCTACACAATGCTTTTTTTATCTGAAGTACGTTCCACAACATTGATGTGCCCTTCTGAACCCAGCCCAGGTTTCTGATTGATTGTGTCTTGGTGTCATAGATTCCCCACAGTGAATCATGACATGGATGACTCACCTGTTTCTGTCTTGTGTCTCTCTTTCAGATCCTCCCTCTGAGTGACTCAAGCAGCTATGTATGTGTTTGGGCCCCATGGTTGACTGCCAGGTTTGTGTAGTGTTCTACTCCTCCAAACCCTCCCCCAGCCCATTATCCCCCAGCCCATTATCCCCCAGTCCTAACCCCAGTCCATTATCCCCTAGCCCTATATCCCCTAGTCCTAACCCCAGCCCATTATCCCCTAGCCCATTATCCCCTAGCCCATTATCCCCCAGCCCATTATCCCCCAGTCCTAACCCCAGTCCATTATCCCCTAGCCCTATATCCCCTAGTCCTAACCCCAGCCCATTATCCCCTAGCCCATTATCCCCTAGCCCTATATCCCCTAGTCCTAACCACAGCCCTATATCCCCCAGTCCTAACTCCTTAGCCTATGTCATTATTTTGCCTGACTAGCCCCAAACCTTTATCCTCCAGATCCCTCTCCTTTCTTTCGTAACACCAGCCTCCTTACCCATTCAAACCACCCACTTCCATCCCCAGACCCAGTACCAGCCCCAAGCCCCTCTCCCAACCCTGTTCTTCCAGTCCCACCCTCTATCCCCCAGCCCCCTACCCCTCTCCCCTGGCACCACCCAGCTCCAGCCCCAGTACCATGCTGGGGAGGAACATGTCCCAGAAGCTGAGCGTGCTGCTGATCATCTTGGGGCTGGCATGGGGGCTCATGTTGCTACGCTACACCATGCAGCAGCCGCACCACCAGAGCAGTGGCGAGCTGCATCAACAGATCCTGGAGCTGAGCCGGCGCTATGTCAAGGTACTCACCGAGGAGAACCAGAACGCACCGGGAGGACCGCAGGGCACCTCCATGGCTGGTTACGGTAAGGGTTGCTTTAGCGCTAGAGAAAAGTCCTGAAGCCACCATTTTGTCTTTTGTTGTGGCGCTGGAAATGAGGAAACACTCCTCTACTACTTAAACAAAACTACTTACCACATTCTACTTGAACCAAACTAATTGTTTTAGATTTTTATTCTCTCCCTTTCTCTCTCACACACACACACACACACACACACACACACACACACACACACACACACACACACACACACACACACACAGCTGATCTGAAGAGGACTATAGCGGTGTTGCTGGACGACATCCTGACACGCCTGGTCAAGCTGGAGGGGAAGATGGAGCTGGTGGCCAACATTTCAGTCACTAACTCCTCCCATCCTGCAGTGGGCACCCTGGCCTCCGCTCCAGTTGCCTTACACAAAGCCACGCCAGGCAACCACCGCCTGGAAACACCACGCATCCCTCCACACACACCCAACAGACCTCGCCCAGGGGTATAGTAGTGTGGGTAGCGATTAAGGCCCTGTTCAAGTACTTTACAGGTGCATTCTTTCTTCCTAAGAAGGTCACTGATCTAATAAGGTTGGTAGGGTGGTATCTCTCATTTAACTTATCTATTCATTTACAGATCAGTGATTATCTCAAGGGAGCAAGGAAAGATGTATTCCAGATAACTGAAACCTTACCCTGAGAAAAGACTGACTGTCTGTTGGTTTCCAATAACTACATGGCTGATTTCTATTTTTTTACGAAAACATTTTTAGCACCTTTTTTTTTTTTATACTTTCAGTCAAGGACTCTCTTAGGCTTGAATTTTAGCTTCACTTTTTAATGGTTTCGTCATTGATGGGTCTTTAAACTGCGGATCTCTTTGAGGATGTCTGTGGGCAACAACATAGCATCATCAACAGTAGAGGAAATATACAAACGTCTGTAGTGTCTTCAAGGAAGCTGATGATGAATGTGAAAGGCACTCCCACCTGGATATGACTTACCTCGGACATACCGCCTACGGATTTGCAATACTGCTTCTTCTAATCCCATCCATATCAGAATGCTGAATAAACAATGCTCTCATGGTAGTTTGGGAAATGTTGTTTTGGAGTTTGCAGCAGCTCCTGGTGCATAATATGTAGAGTCCCTTTTTAGTGTACATATATACTGTGTATGTGTGTATATATGTATATATATATATATATATATATATATATATATATATATATATATATATATATATATATATATAATGATTGAAATAATAATATTTTAGCTGTTGTACAGACTTTAAAAGGATAAAAGTGATGATCCAAAGAATTTTATTTGCACTCTCTTTGAAGGCTTGAGAAATGTACTTTTACTTTGACCGAGTGATGATTTTAGAGTATGTTTATAACAAGTCGAATGTAACTGTCAATAAGCAGATAATGATCAAGTGATTGTTATTGCTCAATTCCAACTCCATCTTCTTTCCTCTTTGTCACTACCCAGACTGTTAGTCCTTGTCGATTCCCCTTTGCAGATCCGAATGGTTAGGGCCAGGGGATTTTCTGACCTGACCAGTAAAAACTCCTATCCCAATCAATGTACAACCTGTTTTTGTCTCAATTTAGCACTTTGAGGAAGTTGCTTGCCTATTGCTTACACATATCAGTTCCTTTAGTCTGATTACACAGTGACTGTTGGGGGAAGCTTAACAAATAGTGGGCTAGCCCAATCTTTGTATTTTTTACTTATGGGAGTGCCTCTCTATGGCACACCCTTACCCCCTTGACTACAAACCATGGGCTGCATCTCGATTTTCCACTGTTTCAGAAGCGTGCACTTGAACACTCCCTGTCATGGCTTTAAAACCACTGGGGGGTGGAAAACAGACGCAAGATCAGCATTCAGGGGCGACTTCACACAGCACCCTGATTTGACAAGACAATGGCAAGTTGACCAAAGCAGAAACTGACTGGAACCCAGGAGGATACATGATAACATTGAGATCTGAAATTATATTTTTAATAGGTGGGTTGGTTGTTTAGTAAGAAAACTGACGTGTGCGCAATAGTTTACAATGTTTATTGAATGCATAAACAAAGTGGCACAATGAGCACTTGTTGTGATCAAATACAGTGGTGAGAACAAGTATTTGATACACTGCTGATTTTGCAGGTTTTCCTACTTACAAAGCATGTAGAGGTCTGTAATTTTTATCATAGGTGCACTTCAACTGTGAGAGACGGAATCTAAAACAAAAATCCAGAAAATCACATTATGATTTTTAAGTAATTAATTTGCATTTTATTGCATGACATAAGTATTTGATCACCTACCAACCAGTAAGAATTCCGGCTCTCACAGACCTGTCAGTTTTTCTTTAAGAAGCCCTCCTGTTCTCCACTCATTACATGTATTAACTGCACCTGTTTGAACTCGTTACCTGTATAAAAGACACCTGTCCACACACTCAATCAAACAGACTCCAACCTCTCCACAATGGCCAAGACCAGAGAGCTGTGTAAGGACATCAGGGATAAAATTGTAGACCTGCACAAGGCTGGGATGGGCTACAGGACAATAGGCAAGCAGCTTGGTGAGAAGGACAACTGTTGGCGCAATTATTAGAAAATGGAAGAAGTTCAAGATGATGGTCAATCACCCTCGGTCTGGGGCTCCATGCAAGATCTCACCTCGTGGGGCATCAATGATCATGAGGAAGGTGAGGGATCAGCCCAGAACTACACGGCAGGACCTGGTCAATGACCTGAAGAGAGCTGGGTCCACAGTCTCAAAGAAAACCATTAGTAACACACTACGCCGTCATGGATTAAAATCCTGCAGCGCACGCAAGGTCCCCCTGCTCAAGCCAGCGCATGTCCAGGCCCGTCTGAAGTTTGCCAATGACCATCTGGATGATCCAGAGGAGGAATGGGAGAAGGTAATGTGGTCTGATGAGACAAAAATTGAGCTTTTTGGTCTAAACTCCACTCGCCGTGTTTGGAGGAAGAAGGATGAGTACAACCCCAAGAACACCATCCCAACCGTGAAGCATGGAGGTGGAAACATAATTATTTGGGGATGCTTTGCTGCAAAGGGGACAGGACGACTGCACCGTATTGAGGGGAGGATGGATGGGGCCATGTATCGCGAGATCTTGGCCAACAACCTCCTTCCCTCAGTAAGAGCATTGAAGATTGGTCGTGGCTGGGTCTTCCAGCATGACAACGACCCGAAACACACAGCCAGGGCAACTAAGGAGTGGCTCCGTAAGAAGCATCTCAAGGTCCTGGAGTGGCCTAGCCAGTATCCAGACCTGAACCCAATAGAACATATTTGGAGGGAGCTGAAAGTCCGTATTGCCCAGTGACAGCCCCGAAACCTGAAGGATCTGGAGAAGGTCTGTATGGAGGAGTGGGCCAAAAACCCTGCTGCAGTGTGTGCAAACCTGGTCAAGACCTACAGGAAACGTATAATCTCTGTAATTGCAAACAAAGGTTTCTGTACCAAATATTAAGTTCTGCTTTTCTGATGTATCAAATACTTATGTCATGCAATAAAATGCAAATTAATTACTTAAAAATCATACAATGTGATTTTCTGTATTTTTGTTTTAGATTCCATCTCTCACAGTTGTACCTATGATAAAATTACATACCTCTACATGCTTTGTAAGTAGGAAAACCTGCAAAATCGGCAGTGTATCAAATACTTGTTCTCCCCACTGTACATAGTTACAGTTGTTGGTTAGCTAGCTAGCGAATTTGAGCCATATTATCATAGATGTGACATCAGTCAAAACACCTCAAAACAAGACATGGTATCAAGAACAAGATAAAACTAGCTGAAACTAGCCACTTACGGTTCCCCACATGGCAGTTTCTTGTCATTGTTGCAAGCCATCTGGCCATCCAGAATGGAAACAACACATGGACTTCTGTTTGGAGCGATTTCAGTGCCAACAGAAACTGTATTTGCATTCAAGCCTTTTTTATTTGCATATAGAATTTGAATTCTATCTTTTTGAATATGTAATGCACACTTTGAATAATTGAATTCATGAGTTGAACTTGTATTTCATGGTTGGAAAGTTAATTGAATTAATATTGCGTTCAGTTTTAAAATTCAATTTAAATTTAATTGAATATTCAAATTCAATATATATATTCAGTTTCAGTATGGTAAATATTGCATTCATTGTATCAAGTTTACAAACTATAATTTCAAGTTGACAAAAGTTTCATATATTCAACTTCTCAGATGCATTCAGATTCAGTTTTCAAATTCTGTTTCCTCAATTCAGATTCAAACCCAGAGACAACATCCAGGTACTTTGCAAGCAAGGAATGGTAGAAGAGAACATATAATCAAACACTGTGTTAAACATGTTTCGGGCGTTTTCTGAAGCCAATGTGGCATGTTTAATTTAATTTCATCATATGGATTTGGCGCTGCCGTTTGAACCGTTTTGGCAATAAGCTATTATGACACCATTACTGAAAGTGAAGAGTCTCTGGAACATGGTTGTGCCTTCTGCTCCTCTCTATATGTTAGAAGGGACGCGTTAGAAGGGAGTGTGACAAAAACGTAATTTGACCCCATAACAGTATAGTTGAATAGCCCTATCATAGCACTTCTAAGGATAGCTATTCAACTCCCTATTTAATCTTGCTCTTGTGAATGACTGGGTTCGAACCGGGTCTCCTGCATGTCTCAAGACTGTGTTAGCCCATTTAGCTAATGCCCATAGGGATGACATTCCCACCTGGTTGCAACCTTGTTCAGTCACTCAATGTGATAATTTGCCCCCTTTTAATTATTTCAAGTATGCATTAGCCCCCCGAGAATCAAATGAGGTGACATGAAATGCTTAGTAAAATACTTATCTGAAATGTGTCTTATCTGACTGATGCTTGCATTGTGTACTATTTTCCTGTTCCTACTTCATGGGGTTTTATATTCACAAAGCAGGGTATCAACTGAGAGACAAATATCCATAAATGGTAAAATGGGTAGAGTTGCAATGGCACACGTGGGGACCCTCTGGGTCATACAGAAGTGGCACACTATTGTTATACCATAGCTACATCTCAAATACAATTCTGTCACATGCTTCGTAAACAACCGGTGTAGACTAACAGTGATTTTTTTATTTTTTTTTACATTTTAGTCATTTAGCAGACGCTCTTATCCAGAGCGACTTACAGTTAGTGAGTGCATACATTTTTCATACTGGTCCACCGTGGGAATCGAACCCACAACACTGGCGTTGCAAGCGCCATGCTCTACCAACTGAGCTGCATACATGTTTCATACTGGCCCACCGTGGGAATCGAACCCACAACCCTGGCGTTGCAAGCGCCATGCTCTACCAACTGAGCTACAGGAGGCATACTTACGGGCCCTTCCCAACAATGCAGAGAGGAAAAAATGAGAAATAATAGAAAAATAATAACACGAGGAATAAATACACAATGAGTAAGGAAGACTTGGCTAGTCAAGATTCTCAGTTGATTGTCATTCATAGGCCAGCAAGCGCTTCACTTGCATTTGAATGGACTACTATGGAACTGCCATCTGTATCAAGAAGGCGTGGCAGGAATCACGATGACGTCCGCACAAAATCTTCCGTTTATAAATAAACTGCAGTCTTTCTCCGCCATCTTCTGTTCCACCACGAGAAACAGAAGCACAAAGGAGGACGCAGTTATTTTGTCTGAAAACGTAGCTATCTATTCTCATTACAAAATGAGTGACATTGAGGATGGAAACTTTGATGGACGAGTAAGTATTAGCGTTGCTACGGAAACCTAAATATCTTGTATTTCCTCTATTTTGCTGACATAGTGTTAGCTAGTTACTGTAGTTATCAGTTTCTTTGTTAGTAACGCTTTGGCTAGCTAGCTAATTAGCGAGTTGAGTTCGTATTTAAAAAAAAGTAGCTAGATGGCAACCTAAAATGTTCTTCAAAGTATTGTAAACTTGCTATGAAAACGAGATTAACTCAATTATTCTTCCAAATTAAACGTTACCTTTCGCCATGTGTTGCCAGCCGACCAATACAATAGCTAGCAAACTAACGTTAGCTAACTTGCCTAGCTAAGTAGCTAACGACGTTATCATACATGACGCTACCCGTAGCATAAACGCAACGTTACGCACATTCTACAGATACGCTAGCTAACGTTAGTTATTGCTAGGTTCTAACTAGCTCCCAGGTAAGTTTGGTGGAAGCCTTTGTCACAATAGTAAGTTGCAGTCAAGCAATCTGAGCTTCAAGCCACTTCCTGTAGCTAAATAAGTTAGAGGTAGCTAGTGGTGGTGAAAGTGAAACAGTTCTGTCATCTCATAATGTTAATTTATTCAGTGTTACGCTACAACAATGCATTAGTGTACTCCTCTTGAAAAGTTGTCATCATCACTGAACCCTTCTGAGATGCAGGGTAATATATTTCTGCAAGTAAAGTACTTGTCCTGCTATAGATACTGTATACATTAGTTATTATTTAACGAAAGATCTTTTATTTTTCTATAAATTCATGATCTTTAATTTTATTAAATGTTCTTTTTTCATTAAGGTTATTGATCGTGAAGGATTTGAAGAGTTTTATCCAAGAATGTGGAAGAAAATGTCCAAGAATAAACGAAGGCTTATGAAAAACAGTTACAGAGCAGAACATAGATGTGGGAAGGGGAAAATGAATGAAACTGGAAGATTGGTGGTCAGATATAGAAGCGCTTGCAGTATGTATGACTAAAGGTGAAAATTGTTTCTATTTGGGGAAGAGAACCCGGAATCAGAAAATGAAAACGGAAAAAAGAAGAACGACGAAGAACAGTAGAATTCCTGAGAGAAGGAAGTAGAGTATATAAAGAGACTGAAAGAATGAATGTATCCCTAGGTGTACGGTATATGTTCCAAGTGTCTGTACACTACTATGCTCCCTTTCTATAGTTAAAAAATGCATGATGACTTTAGTTTGACCAAGGTAGAAGAAACGAGACATGGCGTATGTTAACATTATGACAGGGTTTTAGCATATTATTAATCCAGTTGAAGGAGGGTTTTTTCTTCTCTATCACATGTAATAGACATGGTGGAGCACTAACCTTTTCCTCCACAGTGTATGTGCTCTAGTTGTGTATGTCTGACTTTGAACAGTTGCTTGTCTGTTCCTGTGTGTGTAAGAAAAAGAGGGGGCCTCTTTAACACGCTGTTACTGTAACATTAGGACTCTCGCTCCCCATCCAAATCGGACCGTGGCAGTCCCGTTCGGGTCAAGTCGGAGAGCAGGTCCGGCTCCCCGAGCCCATCCCGGGTCGCCAAACACTCAGCGTCTCGGTCCCGCTCAAAGTCCAGGTGAGTCTGTCCTGTTATGTCTTATCAGAACCCCCACTTCCTATCTCATTGATTCCATTCTCTTTGTGAAGAGTAATTTCTCATTGTGCGTTTGCTTAACTTGACACTAAATCCTCCATCCCCTTCTCCAGATCTCACTCTCGTAGGCACTCTAACCGCCGGTACAGCCGCTCTCGCTCCCCCTCCAACCGGAAGAAGTCCCGCTCCTACAGCCCAGAATATCGGAAGAAGACGAGCCAGAGTGCGTCGCCCAACCGCCGCCGCCCCAGCAGCAGGGTGAGTGACACATCGTTTACAGGTCAAAGGTCAGGGTCTGACTGCTGATTGGGTAGAGCAGTACTTCCCAACCCCCTCCTCGGTAATCACCTGACGTTTCTGATATTTGTTGTGGCCCTAAACTGGCACACCTTTTTCAACTAGTCATGGGCTTGATGATAAGGTAACTAGTTAAACCAGGTGTGCCAGTTTAGGGCTACAATAGATATGTGAAACGTCTGATGGCAAACCCTGTGGTAGAGGGACAGCTGGGTTGTGTAGAAAATACAATTGTCAGTTGTGTTTTTAAGGGCTTGCAGCTGCTTTATGGAATTGTGGAATTCGATTAGGGTGTGTGTACATAGTTTATCATAGGAATGTTGACACCATTTTATGTATAGGTAGCGTGTTCATTTACCAGTTAGTATTCCTATGCTGCTCCTGTATTGTCTGCTACAGGAAACAGAATGATGTAACTTATTTAATAACCCTTTTATTAACCCTCCATCTCTTTATGTCAACAGAGCCATGACTTCAGAAAAGAGACATTCAGTCAGGGAGCAGGAGGTGGTGGTGAGGATGCCAGGGTATGTAGACCTTCTTACCATGATACTTTCTACATGAGTATTTTAATTCAGAAGTGGGCCACAACATGGAAAGCCTGTGGTCTAGCAGTATGGTCACATTTATGCCTCTCAGATCTGGGGTTGTGTGAGCGAGCGACTGAGATGAAGAGTCGCTCTGGATAAGAGCGTCTGCTAAATGACTTAAATGTAAAAGAGTGTGAGGTCAGAGATTGTTAGTGGCTGGTAATCTATGTGTTCATGTCAGCTGCTGTGAACTCTGACCCCTTTGCCCTCCAGGTTAACCCTGACCCCAACCAGTGTCTGGGGGTGTTTGGGCTGAGCTTGTACACCACGGAGAAGGACCTGAGGGAGGTGTTTGGCCGGTACGGCCCATTGGCCGGGGTTAATGTGGTGTACGACCAGCGCACCGGGCGCTCCCGTGGCTTCGCCTTCGTCTACTTCGAGAGGATCGCCGATTCCAAGGAGGTATGGGACAAACAGAGCAGTCTGGGCCTCTTACTCAATTAGTTTATTCTTTACTATTGCTCCTTGCCTTCACAACTGTGGTGGAGAATGTCCGAGGCCCTTACTCTCAGACTTTCTCCAATGGGTTTTGAGAAGGAGAGAATTCCAGGAAAGATTAATTGCGAAAGAGCCGTGGATTAGGAAGCACATGATGGGTCCTATTTAAAACACATTTTGTTGTCATAAGAAGTTATGCTGTTGATCATTGGGTCATGTTGTGATACACCTAAGAACCGATGGTAAATTTTTGCTTTTGGGGCCATCAATGGCCTTATTCCTCAGTCCTTGAAGATGTAAAAGGTTAAATAAGCCTTTTATGCTAATTCATCTGGAACCATTGATATTGTACGCTGACTAGTCTGTACACTATAGTTTCGTTTTCATATTGTGACTCTGGTTGTGTAAAGCGTGATTACTCATAAGCACCACCAGGTGTCAGTCTTGCCACTCACATCAAGTGGTACAAGCGACAAAGGAATTCTTCACTAATGAAGGTCAGAGTTTCTAATCCCAGATGCCCAACATCGCGAGACTTCCAGGGATGCCTGCGAAGCAGAATCAGCAGACCGGGGTTTGAGAAGTGAAATGAATCCTTGTTAATTTTTGCAATATAAAGGCACAACCTAGATTTGAGCCAATGTCAATGCCAAGTAGCTGAACATGTTATCAATCACATTTATTTATAAAGCCCCTTTTACATCAGCAGTTGTCACAAAGTGCTTTACAGAAACCCAGCCTAAAACCCCAAACAGCAAGCAATGCAGATGTAGAAGCACGGTGGCTAGGAAAAACTCCCTAGAAAGGCAGAAACCTAGAGAGGAACCAGGCTCTGAGGGGTGGCCAGTCCCCTCCCTTATGGCTGTGCCGGGTGGAGATTATAATAGTACATGGCCAATAAGGCCATATTTTTCTCCAAGATGTTCAAACGTTCATAGATGACCAGCAGGGTCAAATAATAATCACAGTGGTTGTAGAGGGTGCAACAGGTCAGTACCTCAGGAGTAAATGTCAGTTGGCTTTTCATAGCCATCAGAGGTCGAGACAGCAGGTGCGGGGGAGAGCGAGAGAGTTGAAAACAGCAGGTCTGGGACAAGATAGCACATCCGGTGAACAGGTCAGGGTTCCATTGCCACAGGCAGAGTGAAACTGGAGCAGCAGCACGACCAGGTGGACTTAGGACAGCCAGGAGACATCAGGCCAGGTAGTCCTGAGGCATGATCCTAGGACTCAGGTCCTCCGGGAGGGGAGCGAGAATTAGAGGGAGCATTCTTCAATTCACACAGGACACCAGATAAGACAGGAGAATTACACCAGATATAACAGACTGACCCTAGCCCCCCGGCACATAGACTATTGCAGCATAGATACTGGAGTAATTACGCCGACCTCATGAAAGTAACAAACTGACACATTTTCATCAAATGACTTTCTTGGGTGCCTTTTGATTAGACAGCCTGCACATGCGCAGTTCAGCGTGAAACAACCGTTTGCCCCTGATGCGTTTCTACGCATGAGCTTAGCTAGCCACCGTCGCCTTGACATCGCCTACACTGCTTCTATTGGAGAAGCAGTTTCTACATATCTTCATACTAAACCATCTTTGGTTCAGCGTTGGACCAATGGGACGGTTCAAGGTGTGCTCAGTATGAACACACATTAAACCTTTTTCTCTTTTACCCTTCACCCCAATCCTTTCCCTGTACAAGTAGAACCCAGAGATGAGATGGAGCTCATTTTCAGAGTGACTGATTTTTAAACTCCTGTCTTTTTGTACCTCTTCTGTTTCCCTAGGCGATGGAGCGTGCCAACGGTATGGAACTGGACGGGAGACGTATCAGAGTGGACTTCTCTATCACCAAGAGGGCCCACACCCCTACGCCTGGCATCTATATGGGCCGACCCACACAGTAAGTATAGGATGGTGAATCTCTGCTCATAGTGTGGTTTTATGCAGATGTACACCTGTCTTGCTGCAACTGTATTTCTCTCCTGTGTGTATTGCTGTTTTATCTTCTTGGATGTGAAGTTGTGATACTGAGGGATTTGATAACTTAGTTTATTGGGAGTTATGGGCTGTGTCTGAAATGGCACTCTATCCCCTTATGTAGGGAGTCTGGTGCCATTTGGCTGAAATGGCACTCTGTCCCCTATGTAGGGAGTCTGGTGCCATTTGGCTGAAATGGCACTCTGTCCCCTATGTAGGGAGTCTGGTGCCATTTGGCTGAAATGGCACTCTATCCCCTATGTAGGGAGTCTGGTGCCATTTGGCTGAAATGGCACTCTGTCCCCTATGTAGGGAGTCTGGTGCCATTTGGCTGAAATGGCACTCTGTCCCCTATGTAGGGAGTCTGGTGCCATTTGGCTGAAATGGCACTCTGTCCCCTATGTAGGGAGTCTGGTGCCATTTGGCTGAAATGGCACTCTATCCCCTATGTAGGGAGTCTGGTGCCATTTGGCTGAAATGGCACTCTATCCCCTATGTAGGGAGTCTGGTGCCATTTGGCTGAAATGGCACTCTATCCCCTATGTAGGGAGTCTGGTGCCATTTGGATGCAGCCAGTGATTGTGTTTGAGGAAATCTTGTCACTCGCAGTTAATATGAACTTATTGTCTCTTTCCTCAGAAATGGTGGTGGTGGGGAGCGAAACAGTGGCAGCAGCAGTGGTGGAGGGAGGAGGGGACGGGACTCGTATGACCGCTACGATGATCGACGCGGCGGCGGTTACGACCGTGGGTATGACCGTGGATATGATCGGGGAGACCGAGGTGGAGACCGGGGATATGACAGATATGACGAGTACGACAAGTACAGGTGAGTGATCCTCGAGATGTTGACTTCTTTCAATAGATTCACATCGGAGCTATAAATATATTTGGAATAAAAATGAACATATTTTACAGATGTTTAACTCATTAACACTGGTGAAAAATGTATGCACTCACTTAACTGTAAGTCGCTCTGGTGAAGAGCGTCTGCTAAATGACTAAAATGTAAAATGTGCTCTTCAGGTTAAATATGAGGGGATGAATGGGGTTACTTGTCCTGTGCGGGTATTGTGAATTCTTCCTTACACTAGTATAAATATTTTGTTCTCTCTCCCTCCTACAGTCGCAGGCGCTCTCCCTCACCCTACTACAGTCGATACAGATCACGCTCCAGGTCTCGCTCATACAGTCCACGTAAGTACACACACACCAAAAGCAATTGTTAAACTCTTAACCATACTCAGTTTGTGATGTCTGAGGGAGTCACAATTACATGAAGCATATCACACTAACATGAATCCTTGTCTCTTTACAGGACGATACTAACAAACTTTCATCAAGATCAAGCTATCCTTTTTTCTGTTAACCACATTGGAACGGAGCCGTTTGGGAGCGTTGTCAAGCTAACTAAAGTGTATATCAACAGACGAAGCTCCCCTGCGACTTTTGTTTTACGTGCTGTAGATGTCTTTTATTTTTTAACTTTGATGCATCCATGTAGTGTCTGTGCTGAAGACTCAGACGGTGGTAATGAAACTCATTGGGCCCGTTTGAGTATCTTTTAAAACGCACCCTTCTTCAGCTTGTCACTGATCTATAAGTGACTGGATAAATTAAAGCGTTGTAGCCATTGTTTTGCTTTCACCAATCCAGCCTTGTCAGATCAGTGATTACCTGAAGGAAAGAAAGGATGTTTAATATTCAAACAGGCTCATTGGTTTTTGCAGTAGGGGGAAATGTGAAATTGATCTGAAAGTATCACTGGTTTGAGGAGGGTCTTTGTTATTAAGTCACATCTTTGAGTTGAGGATGTTATTGGGATACCCTCCAGAGATGTTTATTTTCATGTTATTTTGTTTATTTGTATGGAAAAAGACATCTCTAAAATGCGTGAGTTTTTTTACATTCTGAATTTAAAGTTAAGCTGTGTGAAGGTATCATTCAGAAGAGTTGTCTCTTGGATCAGCATGTAAATACAGATTTTTGAACAAAAGATTTGATTGATTCTACACTACAGTGCAAGTCCTAATCACCATGCATAGCAATCAATATATCAGCTTAATGAAAAATACAAAAGCCACACGATTTAAGTTTATTTACCTGTTTGAGCAACAAATAAGTGTTGAAATACTCATTTTACTGAGTTACAGTTCATTTAAGGAAATTGAAATCAATTCATTAGGCCCTATTCTATGGATTTCACATGACTGGGAATACAGATACCTTAAAGGGTAGGGCCGTGGATCAGAAAACCAGTCAGTATCTGGCCTGAGCACCATTTGCGTCGGGCAGTGTTACACATCTCCTTCACATAGGAGGCCTTTGGATTGTGGCCTTTGGAATGTTGTCCCACTTCTCTTCAATGGCTGTGCGAAGTTGCTGAATATTGGCGGGAACTGGAACATGCCGTCGATCCAGAGCATCCCAAACATGCTCAATGGGTGGTGACATGTCTGAGTATGCAGGCCATGGAAGAACTGGGACATTTTCAGCCTCCGGGAATTGTTGATCTCGTCACGGTATCTCTGCATTCAAATGCAATTGTGTTTGTTGTCCGTAGTTTGCCTGCCCATACCATAATCCCGCCACCACGGGGCACTCTGACATCAGCAAACCGCTCGCCCACACGATGTATGATTTATTTCAGCTCATGAAACATGGGACCAACACTTTACATGTTGCATTTATATTTTTGTTCAGCGTATTTGCCAAAGACTTGTTTGTGACAACAGTATAAGCACAAATGATTGATAAATTGAAGCTGCTGCTTTTGACATTTATTCCTTCACTGAAATGTGCCTACTTCTCAAGCTAATTATCCCCTCCTTGCTACTATTGTATTCAGCCCATCGCTGATCAAACAAGCTAAATTCACACCTCATTGCCCCTCTGTTTTTGACGATACTTTTTAATGTTAACCTATAAAGGAGTGTCTGACTAGTGTAATGTTCAGCATGGTGAACCATTCCCAACACTGCAGATATCAATACACTACATAGGAAGAACCTGTTCTCCACATAAAATGTGAATTACTGCTCTATTTTCCATGTTTCTATGTCCAATCCTCAAGAGGGCCGGCACACTTCACTCAAGAGGACATGAAGTTCAGAAAATGTGGTGTAGAAGAGCAGATCATAGACCACAGGGATTGTCAGCTCTATGCATTGCATTTCTATCTGCAATGCTCAGCGTGTGCCATGCTGGATAATCCAATCAGTCCAAGAGTGAGTGTCACACCTTGGCTAAGAAAACGGTAACGGGATGGGTGTGATCCATACAGTCGATGGTGTGATCAGGGGGGCGGGGGACCATCAATCTAATTAACACAGATGAGTTTGGAGAGGAGTAAAAAAGTGTCAATGAAGAGCATTGTGATTCAGGCAGGCTAGGTGACTGATCAGAGGCAATGGCGTAGTAGAAGGGAGAGAACAATGTTTATCTGGAGACCTTTGCCCTGATGATACCGGAGCCCACTGATGGAACATAAACTATAGAAGATAGTGCTACAGATTCTTAAGAAACCGTTAGTTGCAGTACATGGATCAAATTGTTAAGTCTTTTCTCAAGAGCAAAACATGTTTTATTCCAAGATACTTATATTTTCCCTAGTAAGTGTAAGTACACCTGCCCTACTAGTCTATGTTGACCAATAGAGTTTCATCTTCCCTGTGTAAGAGGAATAGCTACAGCGAATGAGGTCGTACTTTGAGGTTGCCTGGGGACCAGACAGTGAATATCTAAATACATCATCTGGAACGTGATAGTGTTTGATTCTGAAAATGGGCCTCTCAGGTCCTCTACAAGCCAAAATGTTGAATACAATTATATTTGAACTTACTCTGCCGATTGTCCGTGGTATTGGTCCTTCAGCTGCTCGAAATTTGAGACAAAATATCCACAGGAATGTATTGTTTACCCGAGTTTGTAGAGCACCAGTACTGAAGTAGTGATGTATATCATCTGGCACATGCGCAAAACCATGTAAACGCATGCAAGACTTCGGTTAGTATCCATGGTTCGCGTGCGTGTACTTCCGTCTTGTGCACATGCATCCGTCATGAGCAAAACACATCTTGATTGCCTTACAAATAGACCCGTGTTTTGAAGTCGGTTTAATAATACTTTCCTGTGGCTATTTTCAAAAAAAAATTGACCAGATGATGGACCAAAACCACAGATAATTGACAGAGTACATTTAAATACACTGAACAAAAATATAAACCCAACATGTAAAGTGTTGGTCCCATGTTTCATAAGCTGAACTAAAAGATATCAGAAATGTTCCATATGCACAAAAAGCTTATTTCTCTCACATTTGTTTACATTCCTGTAAGTGAGCATTTCTCCTTAGCGAAAATAATACATCCACCTGACAGGTGTGGCATATCAAGAAGCTGATTAAACAGCATGATCATTACACTGGTGCACCTTGTGCTGGGGACAATAAAAGGCCACTCTAAAATATGCAGTTTTCTCACACAACAATGCTGTTGCCAGAGAATTGAATGTTCATTTCTCTACCATAAGCCACCTCCGACCTCGTTTTAAAGAATTTGACAGTATGTCCAACCAGCCTCACAACCGCAGACCATGTGGATGGCGTCCTGTGGGCGAGTGGTTTGCTGATGTCAATGTTATGAACATGGTGTGCCCCATGGTGGCGGTGGGGTTATGGTATGGGCAGGCATAAGATACATTTAAATTTTAGTCATTTGGCAGACGCTCTTATCCAGACCGACTTACAGTTAGTGAGTGCATTCATTTTCATACTGGCCCCCGTGGGAAACGAACCCACAACCCTGGCGTTGCAAGCGCCATGTTCTACCAACTGAGCTACACGGGGTCAAAAAACTCAATTGCATTTTATTGATGGCAATTTGAATGCACAGAGATACTGTGACGAGATCCTGAGGCCCATTTTCATG